CATGGTTCTTGATCTCAGAACTATACAAAAAGGTACACTCAGAAGTGTCACTCCTTCTACCCTCATCCTTCTATTCTGGTCCTTTTCCCCCATTCTTTCTACCCTGCTCCCACACACTCCCTATAAGTAACCAATCTCATTAGTTACTGGTTTATCCTTCTTATGTATGCATGTGGGTGAGTTTTGTACAAGTGAGCAAGTACTTGTATACTTACTTATTTCCCCTTCTTTCTTAAATGAAAGGGAGGATATTATAGATTTTCCTTTGCACTTTGCTTTTTTTCACTTAACAGGATATCCTGGTATGCAAAAAAGGGTTAACACAGCAAGCCTGAGGCTCTTATCCTTTACAAAGCCAGCTTGCAAGGATGGCCCTTGGCTGGTGTCTGGGAACTTGGATTTTGGGAGGATTCCTACCATTTCCTCCCTCAGGATGAGTGGCTCACTGTGCCTAGACTGTCTGTACAATTTGGCTTATGCTGAACACCTGCTTTCCTTCTACAAGTCTGGAATTCTGGTATATGCTAAGCAGAGGGTACCTATGTGACCAGCCATCCAAAAGAAACGGTAGGCGCTGAGTCTCTAACAAGCTTCCCTGGTTGACAACAGTTTACACATGTTGTCATAATTCACTGCTGTAGGAATTGTCTGTGATTACACAAGGACAGGATTCTTGGAAGCTTGTGCCTGGTTTCCTCCGCAATTCACCCCATGCATCTTTTCCCTTTATTGATTTTGCTTTGTATTCTTTCTCTATAAAGGATATCTTTTCACTGTGCATCTTAGCTGAGTAAGACTACATGCTGAGTCCTGTCAGTCTTCCTAGCAAATCATCAAACCTGGAGGTGGTCTTGGCAACCCCTGACACCCTGAAAACCAATAAGAGTCATCACTGTTCATCACAGTTGCAGAGTACTTCACTGTATGAATGTAGAGTGACAACATATAATTTGTTCAACCTGTCTCCTATGCATGGACACTTAGGTTGCTTTCAGTATTTTGCGATTATAAACATGATAGGAGTCCCTGGGTGGAGCAGATGGTTAAGTGCTGGACTACTAACCAAAAGGCTGGCGGTTCAAACTCACCCAGAGACACCGCTGAAGTGAGCCCTGGCAACCTGCTTCCAAAAGGTCACAGCCTTGAAAATCCTACAGAGGAGCTCTATTCAGCATACTTGGGATAACCATGAGTCAGAATCGACTTGACGGCAGCTACCAACAACAACACAAACATGATGCAAAGAATAACCTTGTGTCTATGTATTTTCCATACTGTTGGAGGTATATCTTCAGGGTAGATTCCTAGAAATGGAAGTGCTGGGTCAGTAAGTCAGGTACTATATAGTTTTGTTAGGTGTTGCCAAATTCCTCTTCGGAAGGGTTGTATCAGTTTGCATTTCCACCAGCAATGTGTAAGAATGCCTGTCTCCTCACAGCCTTGCTAACCATATGCGTCGTCAAACTTTTTCATTTTCAACACTGTGATGAGTAAAAAGTGGTATCTCAGGTTGTTTAAATTTGCATTTCTCTAATTATGAGTGAGGATAATCATCTTTTCATGTTTAAGGGCAATAATTATATATGCATACATACATATATAATAAATTATCTATTCAAGTCTTTTCTTCATTTTTCTATTTGGTTTTGTTCCTTTACTCCTCAATTCAAGGGTTCTTTATGTAGTAGAGATACAGGCCCTTTAGGAGCCCTCATGATGCAAAGGTTAAGTGCTCGGCTGCCTACTTAAAGGTTGGCGGTTGGACCCCACCAGTGGCTGTGTGGGAGAAAAGACCTGGCAATCTGCTCCCATAAGGATTACAGCCTAGGAAACCCTTATGGGGCAGTTCTAGTCTATCATGTAGGGTCACTATATATTGGAATCGACTCGAGGGCACACAACAACATAAGCCCTTTACCTGTGATTTATGTTGCGAACATTTTCTTCCAATTTGTCAGTTGTCTTTTGACTGTGTTTACAGTGTTTTGCTAATCTACCAGTTCTTCTTTTTTTTAATGTTCACTGCTGCTTTATTTACAACAGCAAATAAATAGAAACAACTGAAATGCCTATCAACAGATGAACAGACAAGCAAATTGTGGTACATACATACAATGGAACACCATGCAACCATAAAGGACAATGATGAGCCCGTGAAACACTGTAACATGGATGGACCTGGCAAGCATAATGCTAAGTGAAATAAGTCAAGCATACAAGAACAAATATTGTATGGTCCCTCTTTTACAAGACGACAAGAAGAGATATAGAGAGAGAGACCAGTGTTCATCGGTGGCCAGATGGAGGGAGGGAGGAAAGTATGCTTTAGATTGTAAAAAATTGTTATTTTTGGTGATGGGAAAAGTGGCACCGAACATGGATGTAGTGAGCGCAGAACAACTGAAGTAAAAACGAGTTTTTAAGCACATACGGATGGGTATAGGCATACTGGTATATGGCTTGGTAGAGGTATATACATAGGTGATAAGAGACAGAAGTATCTATAAACCAACCAAAACCAAACCCATTGCTTGTCAAGTCGATTTCGACTCACAGCAACCCTATAGGACAGGGTAGAACTGCCCCAAAGCCAATCTAGCAATTTTTATCTTGAGGTCCAAGGATACATTTCAAGGGATCTGAGAACCTTTTGAAATGGTATGTCTGGTTTTCTGAGAGGTCTGTAGCTTTTAGATTTCCAAAGGGTTCTGTGACCACAGAATGATTAAGGGTTACTACTGCCCCACATCCTTCATCAAGCCTTACTGTTCCCGACAGGAACAATTCTGCTTGACAGCCCTGCAAATTCTTCAAAACTTCTCTCATTTCTCTTGGTTCTTCTCTTTCCTGAGTCAGACACCCAGTGACCTGGCCCCCAAAGGCATATTTCAGGTTGTGTCATTAAAGTGTGAATTCTTAACCATGAATGCATTCTTGATTTTCTATACTCCCCTCACATAGGTCACTGAGAGGAGACTACGATCCTCTAGCTGTAGGCTAACCAGCACAAAACAGAGCTCAAACATCGCCTCTCAGCCCAGATAACATATTTCTGTTAACGCATATTAACAGTAAATTGGTTCTTGGCAGCCATACCACAGAGTCAATTCTAACCGACCAAATAAAACCTGTAGGTCTTCCATTTCCCCCATGAGTACTTCTGCCTTTTTTCCCCCCATATGTGAAGTTTACTTTTTGGAACCAAGTACAGAATAGTATTTACCTCTAGTGGAATGAGACAGGAGAAAGGGGATGGTTTAAAAAAAGAACAAGGAGGTAGTAATCTTCTAGTTCTTAGGTTGGGTGACATATATGTGTGTGTGTTCATTATTATACTTCATATTTAAACATATTATGCATACAGTTAGTTTATATCAAATGTTACATTAAGAAATTTTTCATCTTGTTAGACTCGGCTCAAAGTATCAAGAAATCAAGAACTTCTATATTCTGAATCTGTTACTTTACTTATTTAAATATTTATATTCTTAAAAGTAGGTCACCACAATATAAGATCTAGTAAGACACTGTGTTTAGCTGTTCCCGTAAATGTTTCATCCATTCCTAATTAGAGTCAGTGTAGAAAGCCTACTAATAATTATCAACTGTAGTGTAGCCTGTGTAAAGAAATGATGTGTTTATCAAGTGGGGAATGGATTCTAGCCCAGGAAACTCATAGAACATGAATTTATCAGTGGGTCTAGAGCAGGGGCCAGCAAACTACAGGCCATGGGTCAGCCACCTGTGTTACAAATAGTTTCACTGGAATACAGCCAGTCATTCATTTACATATTGTCTACAGTTGCTTTCTTGTTACAACAGCAGAACTGAGTAGTTCCAACAGAGACCATGTGGCCCGCAAAGCCTAAAACATTTATATGGTCATTTTCGGAAAACGTTTGCCAATCAAACTAAACAAGTGCAGCTGAATGAGTAAATGTTTGCTTTCAGTTATTATCTGTATGAGATGAAAGTGACAATAGTATCTCTAAAGCATAGATGAATAGCTTATAGGGCAGTGAGTGTAAGTCAATGGTGGTGAAATAACATGAGGAGAGGTAGCAAGAAGGGTGACACAACGTGAAGACTGTAATCAATGTCACCGAACTCTACGAGCAGAAACTGTTGAATGGACGTATGATCTGCTGAGCATATTTTCGCCAGAAAAAAAAAAAAAAAGTTGGCCAACCCTTGGTCTAGGGCACCTCTTAGGGAACAGAACGCATTTTCTCATTCACTGGGCAGGTATATTCTTTTAGGAATTTGGGTCCATCAGGCTGTCACAACTCATTAACCATCAGTCTCACTTAACTTACCCCTTGTATTCTAATTTCAGGCTCACTGAGAGAAATTTGATTTTCCACATACATCTGTCTACAGGAAGAAGACATGCTGACCAGCCAATGTGACCATTTCTACCATAACTATTCCACTTTTCATTATGTATTTATACAACAGGCTTTCTGATTTATACTTAAGTCTCTCATTAGGTGGGTTAGCATGGGTCAGTCCTTTGGAGACTATAATCTCTAATATACTGAAAAATAAAAGTCAAGTTTCTGGATTGGCAAAGCTAAGGACCAGCTCCTAAAATATGGTGATCCCTCTAAGGTGTCGACTCTCTGGAGGCCTCCCTCAAAGACATCTCTGTGACATCTCGCTCCACTCTAATTATGATACTCCCAAAATTAAGGGAGGAGTACACATCATTTCCTAACATCTAACAGTGAACTACCACAGGACTATCACAAAGAGACTCAACATTCCATATACTGTAGCTGATTCTCAGAAGTGACACTTTCTCATTAGATTAGCACTTCCTCTCTTCAAGAGTCTAATGTGACATAAATGTTTAAGAAGATCATCAAGAGAAAGTTAGCATCAAAATCAATACTTTGGAAATGTTTCAAGAATAAATCATAAGCTACCTGTCAGCATCTGTATTTTATAATGTGAAGCATTACTTTGGAAAGCTGTCATTCATACTCAACTCATCTTACCTGACTTGGGCTCATCTTTCCTTCAGCAGCTGTGGAATGTTGACTCTGGTCTTCCTTTGCTCCCTCACAAGGGTCTCTTACAATTTCTTCCTGGTTCCCTTGATCTCTGAAGACCTTTAGCTCCATGCTCTTGGTTTTCTCTTCCCTATCCAAGGTGCCAGAAGCCACAGTGCCTCCTGCTGTGGAATCCACCAGCCCACACCGCCCAGGCTCACCCCCATCATCCAAGGTCTCAGAGTTTTCTTCACAACAACTTTCCACATGAGTCCTTTGCTGCTCCAAGGGCAATGTCCTACTCTGACTTATAAGTGCCCTGGAGGCTCCGGAATTTACATCTGGAATCCCACTTGGCTCAGAGTCAGCATGAAGCTCTTTGGAGACACTCACTGGGAGTTCAGAGTATAATTCCTGTACCACGGCAGACATGGAGGAATCAAGTGGAACTGGCTGAGTCTCTACTCCAGATGACAGCATTAGGGCAGACGTAGATTATGGAGTCAAGTCTTTTACATCAAATGGTTCACCCTGACACAAATCAAAGGAAGGGATAAAAGTTTAAAACTTTGACAGGGTAGAAGAAAGCTCTCTAAACTCTGACTGAAATAAGGAAAATTATACCACAAATGCCAGTATTACTTGGTACCTGGTACTATTAATTTCTCCTCAACAGACTGTGAATTTGTGGAAAAATAAATACCTTAAACTTTTAATAGATTTCTGTCTGATCTCAACTCAAATACTGCCTTATAAACAATTCTCAATTTAAATCTAAAGGGCCAGGAAATGTAGATGGAAGTAAGGTATGTCTAAATATCCAAGGACAGACCTGACACGTAACAAAGATGTTTTCTATTTGTTTTCAGGGCATGAATTTACCTGTTTTGTTTGCTGTATCCTCAATGCCTAGATGTAGGCATTGTAGGCAGGTACCTGACATATAACAGGCACTCAGTAAATACTTGTTGAATGAATGTACACTAAGGAACTATGAAGAATCTGACACACTGACTTTTCCTCAAGAAATATTATCTCTTTGGAAGATATGTAGAAAATGTTAACTCCATTCCTTTTCTGCTTACCAAATATTTGAGCTACAGCTACCCAGACCAGCATAAGACACTACTACAACAGCTCTTTAGCAGAATTATTCCTTTATCCAACATCTTGGGATTTTCCAAGTGCTTTCATGCATACTTCTCATTTGATGCTCAGGACAACCTTGTGAGCTAAGTAAGGCAGCTATCATTCTCCCATTATAGATGCTAACACCACGTGAGGAGGTTAAAGCTGACCTTCCTAAAATATTACATGGTTGTCTGAGAGAAAGGAGGGGGATAAAAAGCTTCCACTGTGTTGGTAATGTTTCATTTCTTCCACTGGGTGCTGGGAACGTAGGTTATTTGCTGAAATATTTATATCTAAGTAGTTCATAATACTTCATTATTTAAGTAGTTAAAATACACACACAGGGCTAGAGAATGGTACACCCAGGACCAGGGTCTCCAGGCCAGCAACTTTTCCATTTCAGTCTACCAAATCTGTGCAGTTTTCAGAACAAAATCCACTTTAACTTGTTAAAGATAGAAACTGACTAAGCAAGAAAGATACTGCTTGTTTTTCATTCTTGATGCTTTCCTTAACCCTAAATATAAGGAGAAAGAGGATGAGAAATGTTCGGCTACTCAGAGCTCAAAACAAGGATTTATCAGAGGTATTGATTTCAAATCCCTTCGGCCAAAATGCACACAGAGATTTTTAAGAAAGCCAGCCGATTTCTACTCCCATCACTTTCTAATGTTCATTTCCGCCCCCAAAATAAACACAAGTACCAAATTTCTGGGTACTAAGTTGTTTTAACTGTTGAGATGCTTTACCATCTTACCAGTGACCACAATCAGATTTCTAAGAGATAGAGTGAGAGGGAACGTCTAACCATACAAATCTTCACAACTCAGTTCCCTCAGTCTCCATTTTATTCCTCCCCTGATTATCTAGGGAAGCCCACAGTCATTACTTACACAAAAGGCTCATGCTCTGCTCCCAAGTCAAGAAGCACACTGCTCCTTGAATTTATCATCTTTCTTCCTTGCACAGAAGGTCCCATTCGCTGTGCTATCTGGACTGAAGCTGGGGACTGAGGAAGGGGAAGATGAAAGGTCCTTTCTTTTCAGACTGTTTTGCCTTTCTTTTGGTTTTCCAATCTGTGGTGGACCTCACATCATGTTTCTAATGCTTTCATCCACTGGGTGTCCTTGATGCTCTTATGTAATCCTCCCCAAAATGTAAAAGGATGTAAAGCTACACTATAACCTAAATACTAGATACTATAGGAAATCAGATTGCTGGTTTATAAAATTTAGTAAAGTCAGGAGGGCTGATAAACTGAATCCAAAAAAGCAGCAAAGAGAGATAAACTGTTGTACAGGCAGTCCCAGGTTAAGAGCATCCTACTTTAAGTACAACCCGTAGTTACCCCCATAAAGCCTATTACAGTAAAAATTTGAGGTACATACAATGATTTGTAATAACAAACAGGCACTACTTTGTGATGTGCATCAAAATGTTATTACTATTATTACTGTACTATTATGTTAAAAATGTTTTAGTGTATCTGGAAGTGTTTCTTTTATGTTTTTTATGCATGGAAAGGTACACTATACACAACATACTAAAACAAACATTTGACTAACTGATGTGAGATACTAACTGTACCTAACCAACTTAGGAATGGAACTCATTTGTAACCTGGGGACTGCCTGTATATAGGAGTATGGTGAGAATCAAGTAAGACTCTCTATGTGAAGGCCTTTCATAAACAGTGCTGTGCTAGAGATGTAAGAGGACAAGAGAAATGCATCCTTTTTTGAGCTACCATCCCTCCACTCCTCTCTTACTCCTGGAATACATCTGGGGACACTTCAGATTTTATGCCATTTTTTGGTGTGTATGTGAGGGGTAGCAGAGGTAAACTTGAATTGCTACTTGATGCCAAAAAAGTAGGAAATGATAAATGTTAATTTGGTTCAGCTTCTGTTTCCCAGCAACATACACAATCCAGTTTTTGGTCTTTGTACCACATATAGAGTGGAGAAAGTATATGCAGGAAAGGTTATTGTAAAAGTGCAGGCTTGCCCATAGCGACCAGCTCCTTGGGTCTCTTTGCCACCTGTGCTCAGCTCTTCTTCCCCTGCCCACCACAGAGATAGCGTTCTCCGAAGTTTAATCCTTGACAACCTTCCCTTTCCAGGTTTCATTTTCTTGATAACCTTACCTACTCCTGTAGCCTTTCTGCTATAAGCATGACTCAAAACTGTCCCTTTAAGCGTAGAGTTAACATATGACCTAACAATTCCACTCCTAGGTATATATGTAAGAGAAAGGAAAACATGCGTCCACAAAGAAATTTGGACAGAAATGCTAACAACACCATTATTCAAAATAGCCAGAGTGGAAACAATCCAAATGTCCATCAGCTGATGAATGGATGAACAAAATATGGTATATTCATACAATTGAACATTATTTGGCATAAAAAGGAACCAAGTACTGATTCATGCTACAACACGGATGAACCTTGAAAACATTACACTAAATGAAAAAAGCTACTCATAAACGGCCACGTATTGTATGATTTATGTAAAATATCCACAATAGGCAAGGAGCCCTGGTGACCCAGTGGTTAAGCACTCAGCTGCTAACTGAAAGGTTGGTGGTCAAACTCACCCAGTGGCTTTGCGGCAGAAAAGACCTGGTGATCTGCTCCCATAAAGATTACAACCTAGAAAACCCTGTGGAACACTTCTATTCTGTTACGCTGGGTCGCTGTGAGTCGAAAATCAACTCCACAATACCTAGTAACATAGAGGTGAAAAGTAGATTAGTGGTTATCTAGGGCTGGGATAGGGAGTGGCTGCTAATGGGCACTAAAACGTTCTAATAAAAATGTTCTAAAACTGACTGCAGTAATGGTTGTACAACTCTGTGACTATACTAAAAGCCAACAAATTGTACAATTTCAATTGGTGATTGTATGGTATATGAGCTGTATCTTTTTTTATTCTTGTTCAAAGTATACACAGCAAAACACACCAATTTAACAAGTTTTACATGTACAATTGATTACATTCAAGTTGTGCAACCATTCTCTCCCCTCTTTCTTTTCTAAATTGTTCATTCCCCACTAACATGAACTCACTGTCCCCTAAGCTTCCTATCTCATCTTTTGAGTTGCTGTTGTCTATTTGATCCCATGCAGTTCTTCAAAAAAGCATGACGCTCAAGGCAAATGTTCTTTACTAAACAAGCTAACTCTTTGTTTGGTTTTAAGAAGACTCAGGGAATATTTTTGATTTAAGGTTTAAAGACGATCTCAGGGCAACAGTTTCAGGGGTTCATCCAGCCTCAATGGCTCCGGAAAGTCCGGATTGTGAATTATGTCTTAATAAAGCTGTTAAAGGAGCCCTGATGGTGCAGTGGTTAAGAGCTACAGCTACTAACCAAAAGGTCGCAGTGCAAATCCACCAACTGCTCCTTGGAAACCCTATGGGGCAGTCTGCCCTATAGGGTTGCTATGAGTTGGAATCCACTCGACAGCAATGGGTTTGGTTTTTGGTAAAGCTTTTAAAAACAAAACAAAAAGTCTTTATCCCCAACCTTTCTCTCAAAAACCTTTCTCTGACCTATTTCACTCACAAAGATGGCAACCCCAAAACTTAACATGTCTAAAAGAGAACCCATTTAATCCAATGAATAACTGAGTCCTACCCTGTTGCTGTCGAGTCGATTACAACTCATAGCGACCCTACAGAACAGAGTAGAACTGTCCCGTAGGGTTTCCAAAGAGTGGCCGATGGATTCAAACTGCCAAACTTTTGGTTAGCAGCTGTACGTCTTAACCACTGCACTACCTTACTACATGCAAAAATAGCTGTGAGAAACAAGGATAAGTATGATGCCCTTAGTAAACTTATATGTTTATTTTTTATCCTTTTGCCTCTCTCAGTAACAGCATCACCATTATCCTACAGCTCAGATTTGAACCCCAGATAAAACCATATCTGAACTTCCACTCAGCATTCAGGTAGCACATGTAGCCTATAAGACTCAACTCCTATAGTGTGTAATAAATCCCGTTCGTTTCACTCCCACTAACCCAATTCAAGACTTCATTCCAGACGCTGTTCAACACAGGGTCACGCACAAATACACATTTACTAAACATCTTTATGATGAAGAGTCAATATTGATATTCCTCAGGGAAAATAGTGCTCTTACCTTCCCTATGTCTGCATATACACTGTAAATTGGCCTTGGCCAAATGGCATTTTAAAGCTCTGGTCACTGAAAGATAACCTTCAATTTACAAACGCCAAACACCACAAGTCTATGATCTCTTGATACTCTTGCTTGGTGGAGACAAGAATTTTCAACCTGTAAAGCAACTAAGTACATTGGCTGCGGAAGCCAAACAGACACTCCTTTCTTTTTCCCCTAGACAAATTCTGGGTCCTCAAATTTTTTAGCTGTATCTGCAGTTGATTTACAGAGAACAGCTGAGCGTTTTAGCTGAAACCCTCAGAGATGAAGCAATATTCAGATGCAAATCTAGAGTCTAAACCCACTGCCTTTGAGTTGATTCTGACTCAGTGACCCGGTAGCACAGACTAGAACTGCCCTACAGGGCTTCCAAGGCTGTAATCTTTCCATAAGCAGACGGCCACATCTTTCACCCGTGGAGCAGCTGGCAGGTTCAAACCACCGACCACTGGGTTAGCAGCCAAGTGCTTAACCACTGCACCAGGGGTCCTTAAGCCTAGAGTAACCAACCAGCCAACCCACTGCCATTGAGTCAATTCCGATTCATAGAGACCCTATAGCCTAGAGTAGCAAATTAAAATTATCTTCAGCTCGCTAGCTCACATCGCCAAACTCTTCTGCCTCCCAATTTAGCCATTTATCAAAACACTGGCAATGCCACAAAACTACAGTAACAGCAAAATTTGCACAAGACATTAAAGTTCTTCTAAATGAAATTTTGGATACAATGGAGCAATTAAAAATGATGGTGTAGAAATACATCTCCTTACTAGAAAGTTCCCTAGGATATCTTATTAAACTATAAAAACTTAGAACTCTTGTTTTTGAAAAACCTATATGCATATACAAAAAGTGTTTGTAAAAATATAAACCAGATATTAACAGTATTACCTTGGGTGATGGATCATGAATGACTTACCTTTTTTACAACGGGTATGTTACTTATGTGAAAAAAAAATGAAACATTATTTCTCAATATTCAAATGAATAGTAATAAAGAATAACAGGTGAAAGTATTATTCCTTTATTTTATCAGTATCTTTGCAAATATCAGCTCTCTCTAACTCAACCATAAAAGTTTTTACATCGAAGTGTTAAATACACTTGAAGTAAAAGGAAAGAGTGAATAACACATTCTTTCAAAGTATAGGCAGGGATTTACAGCTAATCCTCACTAATGATTTATAACCAGCCTACTAGGTTAGGATACTGGATAATCATCTAGTTTGAGATAAAAACAAAAAATAAACCACTCTCTCCAGCTGTTAATGGTTTAGCATCTTTACCATAACACAGGTAAGAAGTAGACTGCTTAGGGAACTAATTTAGTAATACTTATAGCAAGTATGCAATAAAATTCTTCCAATAAACAAAGAGATTCTCTTGAATTGAGAGCAATTATCTTACAATCCTTCTTTTTCAAATGCAGAATCAGTACAATGAAGCAGTCTAATTGCTAGTCTTCAAGTCCAGGAGGCCAGGGTCCCGTTTAGTAGCTGCATAGCCTTGAATGTGTCACTTAACTTCCAGAGCCTGTTTGTCACAGGTAAAACGAATCGTTAAAACAATCTCAAAGGGTCCTGCCACCCATAAAAATCCTATGACTAAATTATAACTTTCCTATTTCTCTTTGTCTAAGCAAAGAACACCTACAGACACCAACAATGGTGGGGCAGAACTGAGACTAATCAATCTCCTCACTGAAAGTATTCAAGGGCATTTGAGATAATTTAAGAACACTTTACATACAAAAAAAACCTGAAAGCTTTTCTTTCGTTTGTTGCCAGGTATAGCAGTGTTAATTCTGATCCTATCAAATAACAAAAACATGAAAAAAGAAAGAAACTACCAGTCGAAGATGAACACTGCAGGTCTTGATCTCATTATAATACGTTTCATAATTTTAGAAACCTGAAAAAGTGGCAAGTTTTACTTTAGTTGATCAAACACTCCCCAAAACACGAGTTCTGGAGGTACAAAATTTATAGCAACAAGCAAAAAATAGGGGGAAAAAAAATCAAACAAAGAAAGAAAACAGCAGAGCAGAAAACCATGTGCCCCCATAATCCCGACTCTGAAGGTCTCCTGTCCATTTAATCCCAACGCAAAGAGCCTGCTCTTAAATGAAAAGAGTAACAGTTAATAACACTGGGTGTTGCCTCACTTGTGTCAAGAACAATACTCACAATAATGATCAGGCCCTGAGAAGTTCACAACACTCC